CCCCCCTTCTCCTCCATGGATCCGCAAGCTGACGAAGTAGTCGCGAATCATGAAATGAACAGTCTCACGCGGTCATAATCGACAGTCGAGGGTAACAGCTGTCCTTCCTCCATTCCGAATGGTACCATCGCGAACCATTGCGTCGCAGACGACGTGGATAATCGTTGGGGCAATCCCGGGGTGATCGAACGGGTCTCGACGAGGCAAAGGAAGGGCCATCAGGTGGAATAAGCGCGGCGCGCTTGCTATGGAAAAGCGGACACGAAGAGGGTACTCACCGGGCTCGACGGGTCGAATCAGAGGCCCACCTTCTGTCACTCCACTGACCATCTTCAGCTGCGCTGCTACTGCTGCTGTTGCTGCCGCCGCTGCTGCTGTCGCTGATGCTGCTGATGTCTGATCGCTAAAAGGACGCTTTTACCCGCGTAAGTCTGTCGGTCACGATGCACTGAAGGAATATTTACGGGCGGCGTGCGGCCCGTCGTCCGCGGCACTCTACGCCGATCGTCTACGTCGGCCGAAACGCGCGCGGATCAATAGCCCGGGAAGCGGAGCTTGCGCGGAGGGGATGACGCCGCCGCCACCGTCGCCGCGAGGAAGGCACCGATGACGACGACGAGAGAGAGAGAATGCGACAGCCCGCGAGATGAGATAGGGTGGTCCCACGGGTGATCCCCGCTGCACGCGTACGTATATATGTATGTATGTATGTACGTACGCTGCAATTTTTCCAAAAAAATTTCCCTTGGAAAAAGAAGAATGTCTCGCTCGGTTGTGCGTAGAGAGTTGCTGCGAATTTAGCAGACCTTTCGTTCCCTTGATCAATTCGTTTTGCGAAATTGCCGCGAATAATGATCCTCTCTGATGTTCTTATCGAACAAAATCGGTCTCATACATCGGTCTGATGTACTTGCGGACGAATCGATTCTAGTTCTGACCGCGGTAGAGATGAAGATATACAGTGGCTTGCAAAACGGTTTAGGTACAACGAAGTTGAGAGCTCACCGAACTGTCAAAATTAAAAGTCGTAACCGACGAACTTACGTAATAATAATATAATTAATTATATTATTAAGAGCATTATATAAATAATAAATAATATAATGATACGAATAATAATTAACAATAGATATAATTATTAGGCAAGCACGTTAGTAATGATCTTCAATTTTGACAATTCCGTGAGCTTCCAACTTCGTGTTGTTCAAACTGTTTTGCGACCTGCTGCGCAAATAGAGAAGAAACGAAAAATGGCACAATGAGATGAAAAGGGTTAAACTCAGAGCCAACTTTGTACGGTTATTTTTGGCTGACCTTTTCTTTTCCGATATGATATTCGGATGTATATGTGTACATTTTCAGATATATTTTTAGACCAATCATTTTTACATACGGCTTAAATAATTATAAAAATTATCCAGTCGAGACGGTAGCTTACGTAACTGTCGGTAATAAATTTGCCTAGGTAATAAATGAATATTCCATTGGTATCGTGGGGGCGATTATTAGTCGAAGTTTGCAGTTCGCGAAATTTTCTTCATCACAACTAAACACAAGCTACGCGTTAAAGTAATACATCGGTTATGCGTTTCTTTTAATGCGATACGAATCGCTACATGTAAGGCGACTCTAATACGTAGTTTCAAGTTGCATTAGTAAATCGATACGGAAAAGGGTTTACTACCGCGGCATACGTTTCTTGGGTAAGACCACGAAGAAACGTTAGATGAGCACGAGCCGGCGTAATTACACACACGCTAGAGCTTTGTTTCGAATTATCGATCAATGAACGTTGCAGCGGGTATTAAAGTGGAAGAGTTACAGGAGGGTTTTGTCTATGATTCACCTGCAACGAGGACACTGACATACCTACTTCTGCGACTCACTTTACGAACTACTACGTTGCGCTCATAGACGCGAACGATAAAATAATCGAGATCACCGTTGCACAAAATTAAGATTAAGTAAAAAGAGAAAAAGGAAGAAAAACGAAGAAAATTGATAAAACTCGTTGAATTATTCCAAGACGGGACTATATATATTAACGCATTCGCGTTACCAATATCATATTGCAATTGAATGACAGCAAAATTTTTTGCTCTGTGCCCGTCATAGCAAACAGCAAGTATATAATTGTTACATTTACGTTTATATATTTTCGTAATGTAACGAAATGTAACGTGCAAAATATAACATAAATGTTATATATAATAACATTACACATGTCAGTTGCAACTTTCCATTCCAACGATATTACAGCCAGGCAACAGAAATGTAACGTGTTATTAAAATGTTATATGTATATATATATATATATATATATATATATATATATATATATATATATATACAGGGTGTCCCATTTTAAGAGATCCATCCTCATAATTCTTCAGCCAAGTATATTTAGCAAAAATGTTTCAGACAAAAGTTGTCGGATTTAGAAGAGGACATCTGAAGGTGACTTTAACTTTGACCTTGGAGGTCATTCTGAAAGTTATTCGAAAGTCAATTTTGCTCTTTAAATAGAAACATTTATTTTTTGCTCACGGAATTTTATTCTATGTAAAGAAACTAACAACTTTTGTTTGAAAAAAATGTTTATACGACCTCTATTTTCTAAGATATTTACGGAAATATCTACAAAATTATTGGTTTCAATAGTTTTTTACTCGAATTCTATCAATTTTACCAAAAAATAGTAAGAGATAAAAATTGTTTTTTTTTTCTCATAGAATTCTCATAGAATTCTCATAGAATTCTTCTCCGAGAATTTTTTCATAATTTTTTATAAACTTTTTAGTACTTTAAGAAAATGCAAGAAAATGCAGTAAGAAGTTAAAAAAATTCTGAATGAGGAGAAAATAGATAATTTATATCTCTTGCTATTTTTCGCTAAAGTTGATAGAATTCAAGTAAAAAATTATTAAATCCAATAATTTTGTAGATATTTCCGTAAATACCTTAGAAAATAGAGGTCGTATAAGAAATTGTTTCAAACAAAAGTTGTTAGTTTCTTTACGTGGAATAAAATTCCGTAAGAAAAAAGAAATGTTTCTATTTAAAAAGCAAAGTTGACTTTCAAATAACTTTCAGAATAACCTCCAAAGTCAAAATCAAGGTCACTTTTAGATGTCCCTTTCTGAACCCGACAACTTTTGTCTGAAACATTTTTGCTGAATATATTTAGCTGAAGAATTATTATTAAATTATTATTAAGGGTGGATCTTTTAAAAGGGGACATCCTGTATATATATATATATATATATATATATATATATATATATATATGTGTCTAAAAAATACATACACACACACACACACATATATATATATATATATATATATATATATACATACATATATATTATTAAAATGTTATATAGCTGGAATATAAATTATCTATTTCCAGTAACTATATGTATCTAATTATACGCAGCGATTGCAAGCTGGTTATGTTATATAATGTAGATGAAAAACACAAACAATACACTTGTTAACGTTTTATATTTAAGTTATAACGCTGTTATACCGTTATAACCAGTAAAAAAAAACAGTATAACAATATAACAGTATAACAATATAACAGTATAACAGTATAACAATATAACAGTATAACAGTATAACAATTTTAAAACACAGTTATATTGCCGTTATAAAAGGAAATTACATAACTTTAATATTAATAACAGCCGTTATATTATTATTCTGCTTGCTGGGATACATTAATAAACTAATGTACATTTCTACCAACGTCGATTAAATTTCAACCTGAATTTAAATCGTTGTCTGAATAGAGCTTAAATTCAAATTAAGATTCAATCGCTGTTGATTGAAACGGACAAAGTCTATTTTACACACAATGAAGCAAAAAAAAATACGAGAATGTTTGAATAATGAGAAGAATCCTTCAAATAAACCGAATGTATTAAGTATCATTTGTGCCATCGTCGTTTATCACCTCTATCAATTCGATGTCATCCCTGTTGGGCTCGAAGTGACGACATTACGAGCTATGTGCGAATTGCTCGTAGTCGATGCGACTTAACTTTAAATTTCAACGAACGTGTGAACTTTACGACCGGCGCGCTGCTCTATGACATCCGGCGACCGGGCACAGACGTGACGTCGCGTCTTCACCATGGCACGTTCGCATTTTAGATGCAACTTCGAAAACGCCTCTCTCTCTTTCTGCATAATGCTAAAATAAATTTCAACGAGGCACGACGGACGTGCCGGGCGCTTCGCGTGTCGTTAGTCTCGCGAATTCTTGCTCGCGCTGTTTCGTGCAATCGCGCTAACGACTTTGTAATTCGTACAAGACGAATTCTTTGTTACCATCGATTCGCGACAACTCGTCGCACAGTGGCGGATTTTAATTAAATCCTAACCAAAACCTAAACAATGAAAGTAGGCTTTGAGAGTTAAAATATTTGCTAACTTTGAGTTGAATAAACAGAGAAAACAAGTCAATGATTTTAATCCCTTTAAAGCGCCACTTGGCTGTTGGCACTGCCTCCAACATGAGCGTTCATGTATCATAATTGTCTAAAAATGTCAAATTCGAAATAAGTTTTTGTATACATATTGAGGTATTAAATATATTATTTGCATTTAAACTCAAGATGAATTCAGCTGCTGGAGGTTTGTAGAATATACTTAATACTTAATAAATTATGAAAAACTGTAAATTAACATTTTTAGAACCAGTTTATAAGAGCTACTACATAGGTTAGTGACATTTCTTATTAACTTATGGAAAAAGTAGTCAATTCAATGGAATTCAGTTAAGTTCTTAGTATGATATTGCTCTATAAGTCTAATATTAGAAAATAAAAACATATTCTGCGAATATTTGCGAGTGGCTACGAAAACAACGTTTAAAGAGGACAGAAGTCCGCGTAGTTTGTAACTTATAAAGGACATTCACGAAGTTATGTCTACTTTTCAAAGGTGATATATATGTTTTTGAAAAGTACTCATCGAGACAAGTTTAATAATATATAACATTACTGCGTGAAATAAGAGCATTGTATAAAAATCGGTTATTAAAATTATTTATTCAAATTTATTTCAGATTCGCAATCTAATCATATAATTTTAAAAAGAAGGGAAATGATGAAAGTAATGTTCTCTTCTCCTTTAACTAATTTTAACGCACGGACTGATTACTTGCTGGAATATGTGAAGAAAATTAGCGGGTATACTGAAATGCTATCTATGGAAATAAAAAAATTGATATACAAATTCACTTTTGACGTTAAGTCAAAATTATTTGTTGCTTACCCTTATCTTTTTTAGCTACTTTCCTATCTTTGCACAATTCTGAAAGGTTTTGGATTTCGTGAAAATTCGCCACTGTGCGTCGGCCGATTAGACGTAGATCGAAACAGCTCCCAGCTTTTCACCAGTGCCGACGTGAGCAGTCATCGTCGGTAGCAAGATTGCATCAACATTGCGGCAACGTTTCATCATAGGACTGCAACAACAGACACATTGCGAAATGTTGCTGCAACGTTGTTGTGAGATTGCAGCAACAATAAAATGCACTTTCTGAAATATTGCAATGTAACATTGCAGTATATTTAGTATATAGTATGTAATACTTTTTGTGTATGCACATATCTGCATAACAGCTTTATAATATGAAGTTCGACCATTCTAAAACGCATGGGCTTTTTATGGAAAGTTTTAGAGTATCATTTCATGAATTATTAATTTTATAACTATATGATAGTGTAAGATATTTTTAATTTTGAAAGGAACTTCTCTAAGTATATAGACATCAAAAATTGAAAACAAATTTATGTAACTATAAATTCGCAATTATATTTAGTAATTTTGTAACATATACAATGAATTATATTAGTAGTTTTATTGTTTTGTATTTATTTATATAACTTTTTTCTTTGTTTGAATATACCTCTATATGTTTATGATGTTTGTCCCTAAAAATTTGCGATATCTCTCTGATCATTCTGCGTACAAAAGTAAAAAAGGTAAGATCATTCAAGAACGAATACTTCTCACAAGATATTTTACATTTTATCTTAATACTTTTCACTGTATAAGATATGAAATATTCATTTTTCTTTAATTTCACTTTAACCCGTAATAGATACCATGCCTTTTTAGTCAAGCTATGGTACAATGGGACCCGGCGGACCCCAATAAATTTGTGCCATTTTTAACATGATAATAAAAGGTACAAAGAAAAACGCTTTATAGTTCGAAAATAATACTTTACAAATATTATAACTAGACATATATAATAACAGTTTTTCAGTAATCTAAAAGAAAACGTTAACTGATTATAAAATGAATACAATCAGAAATAAATGAACAAATAATCGAAAAAAGAAAAGAATTTATGTTTTAACTCCTTTGCTGGCACGTTTATTCCATTGTTTGTGCCCCGGTGGGCAGAGAAAAAAAGTCGGAGAATTTTTTTTAAACTTGTACAGAAAGTTTTTGGGTCGCTAAATACGATTTTGAGGTCAGAATTGTAAAATTCAAAATGGCGGCAAAGTACTTACTATACTTATGCTTGTGGTGTATTACTTCTAGTATGTTTCTTGTAGTGTCATGATATTTGATATTATAAACCTTAGAATTATGAGTACTCAAACGAAATCAATGAAATCCCCGAAAGTCTTTATAACAAGTTTCAAAAAACTGTGGATTTTTTGAATTTATGATCCGTTATATTGGATCCATCATATTAGGCCCATCATTTTGAATTTTACAATTCTGACCTTAAAATCGTATTCAGCGACCCCAAAAACCCTTCTATACCAAGTTTTAATAAAATCGAACAAGATGTTTCATTTTTTGAATATAACGATCCGCCATATTGGATTCACCATTTTGAATTTTACAATTCTGGCTTCAAAATCGTATTCAGAGACCCCAAAAACCCCTACATACAGAATATGACAAAATTTGCATCATTGAATTGCAAAATAAATGTATGACACCAATTGGCGTCATTGCCAACGAAGGGGTTAATCTACAAATTATAAGTCTACAAATTATAGATTATATAAAAAATATAAACAAGTATTGTTAAATTAAATACAATATTAAAATCTTAGAGGGTTTTTAGATGCAATCGTTACAGATAGTGCTTGCACATTTGGTGCATAGCTCGTTCATTGCATCTAACATATAGCATCTTTTTTGGACTTTATATCTTTACTTCTAAGACATTTATTATGTCTTACTTTAGATGACAAAATAATTTAAAATTTTTCAGTTTCTTCAATTTTCAAAATAGATGAAATTATTAAACGCAATGGCTTATGAATATATTGAGTTGTAAAACATCTCTTAAGTTCAGGTTCTACTAACTGAAAGGCAAGAGCTTTTATTCTTTTGCGTGAAGAGTGAGTCATATTGAGCCGAAGATTAATTATTTTCATAAAAGTAACATTAACGGTACAATGGGATCAGTGACCCCAGACGAAAAACAAATCCATATAATTTACAGCTACTTACAAATAACTCGATGATTTTTTCTTCTGTCACACTGAAAACTGTTACTCGAGAGGTACTGAAGATATTAGTGCCATACAGTGGATAGTTTAGGAATTATCACGAAAATAAAATTAGTTGGGGTCCCTGAGACCCCATGGTACCTGTTACGAGTTAATACTATTGTACACTTAGTACAAAACGATTCAGACAGTTGGAATCTGCACTTGAAGTTAGTATCTCTAACTGTCAAAATTGAGAGTCATTACCGACCGGCTTTCGCAGTAATTATATTACTAATTATATTTTTATTGGATAGGAATGAGGTGAGGTCCCAACTTCAATGTGTCTAAACTGTTCTGCAACCGACTATATGTAGCATAAACGAGAGAAATCGATTAATGATATTAATATCTTTACCCAATCTGGTGCATCAATGTATCTGCAAAGTTCAAGAGAATTTTTTTAAGGTTTCTCTATGTTGTTTACGGCGATTGATTTCACGTCTTATACATACGGGCGCGTGCGCGTGCGCGCACAAACACATACAATCATATTATGATATTTTCGCAATGTTTTTATAAGATATTGTTGTAACATGGTTAAAATTACATCGCGAAATTTGTGTCTATGCGATGTCCCCGCAACATTGTGATGCAACACAGCTGCGAGCTTCTGTGCTGCATAGGCGTCAGTTTGACTTTTTCTTTTTTTCGTTTTATCCTCTTGTGACATTGATTAACGAAGGTAAACTTGTCTGAAACACAGTGTGATTCAAATCGATGATTCGAAATTCCACGTCCTCCTCGTCTCGGGTGCCCGTCGCGGGTGCCTGCGCGTTCGAGCTTGAGGACGGCCCTGTCCACGGTAGCTTCCACGACGACACGTCATTCGCCGTCTGCGCGAACCGGATGGTACTATGGTACTAACGTCGCGTGCACCAGGCGTGTGTGTCCTCGTTCGCGGCCGGCTTTCACGAGCGGCTCGATATAGCGCGAGCGACTCGCTCGAATCGCGACGGTGCGGAAGGCCACGGCGACGTGGGACGTAAACGTCAGCAGCAGCAGCAGCAGCAGCAGCCGTCGTCGTCGTCGTCGCTGGATCCCACGCGAATGGAGTAATCGAGGAAGTGCCATCGTCGTCGTCGTCGTCGTTGTACAAGAGTTTACAGACGCGTAACGAAGTAAACAGATCGACAAGGGATTAGCAGCATGGGCCTCACGGACTTCCGGATAGTTTTCGACAACCAATGGAGTACGTATTATCCTGGGCAAACGGTGACAGGCAGCATCGTCTTGGTTTTGAACAGCACGAAGAAGATTCGCGGTGAGTTTGACAATTGGAGATAATTGGGAGCTATAATGATCATATGGATTACGCGATAGTGCGCCTGTGCCAAGAGCGGCTTAAGTAAGTTCGAACGCGACTTGCTCATTAAAAATTTGTTATTTTTCCCCCGAGTAGTTTCCCCCTCCGCCGCTTCTCTGTCAGTCGATTTTGATCTCATGGAGGAAGAAAAAGGGGAAATATATATGGAAAGTAACTCGTGTGTACCGAGAATTGTGAAATGCGCTCGATGTCTCCGTATCACGAGGTATCTCGTTCTGCTGCTGTAACGCGAGGGACGTTATAATTATAGAACGCGTCGCGCTCTCTCGCGCAAAGTCTCGCCATCGTTGGTGGGACGCTTTGTCTCCTCCCAGAGATTGTTTTGTGCCGCTAAAATACACCGGGAGCACAAAGAACACAGTGTGGAATCGTTTATAAAGATGGACATTCGCGTCGCGCCTCATCTGATATTGATGAACACGGACGAACCCACACGCTCGCGATGACGTAAATTAATAAGGCGAATTAATAAAGTAATGAAGTAATCTCGAAAATATTGATAAGAGACGATATAGAGACGGAATCGGCGCTCGTGTGATTGCATCACAGGCTACGTCGAACGATAAAAAAATTGAAAATGATGAATTAATCGGAACAAATGAGGAGAAGATCTACGAGAAGACCGATCGCGGCTGACCTTGCGTCGGCTAGGCATTTTTCTGCGATATTTTCCAGCAGGTTTATAATGTCTGAAATAATTTTTTTTCTTTACGCAGGTATAAGCGTGAAAATAAAGGGTGAGGCGAATACTTGCTGGACGACCGACAAACAAGAGATGGACGAGCGAGGACAATATCAGGATGAAAGTCACACCGTCACAGCGCACGAGAATTATTTTGATATGAAATACTATTTGGTTGGATCTGCTTCGGGTAATGTCGGATTATCTGGCCTGCGTGCAATCTTTTTCTGCTCAACGGCGACCGGAGATTAATAGAGCGCAAAATCGCTCTTATTAAAATTCAATAACGATCATCAATAATCAAAGTTAAAAAAAGCGGAGAGATGTTGTCGATCTTTTCAATCTCAATACGCCAATTTCTCGCGAGCCGTTTCTTATTCGCGAGGTTTTCCGCCATTTATATCGGGAATTGTCATTTTGCGTACGCATCATAACGTACTCTTCTCTCTTAGGCGGAGAGATAGAGATACAATCAGGCGAGCACAAGTTTCCATTTACTTGTTCTTTACCAAACCACTTGCCGAGCAGTTTCGAGTCGGACTTCGGCCACGTTCGCTACATCGTCAAAGCTACGCTGGACCGGCCTTGGAAATTCGATCAAGATGTCAAGAGTCCTTTCACAATTATTTCGCCTTTGGATTTGAATCAGGAACCTAGAGCGGCGGTTTGTAAAAGCGCATATTTTTGTGTTTAAATTGTATGTATTAAATTGGGATGTAAAGGAGACACTTGATCTTTCTCAGATATCATGGATATTGCTAAATTTTTTTGCATTGTTTACTTTACTAAGAGATTGCGTGCAAGATAAAAAATTATCAAAATTAGTAGATTAAGATAAAAGAGAATACTAATGTTTGGACACTAATATTACTGATATCTAACTTTGAACGTTCTTGTTTTGATTTTTAAATACGAATATTTTAACTTTTAACATAGAATACACACACACATTGTATACTATCCGGCATTGCCTGGGTGCGCGCTTCTTACATCTAGAATATTTATATTTTAACACAAATGTCGAGGGGATGAAATTAGGGGGAGGGAATGATATGTTCATGTAGTATATATTTTTCACAAGTCAAAAATAACTATGCAAAATTTAATCTAAATCGGTCAAAGGATTTAAGAATTAATAGGGAACATATACAGTCAGACATTTCATTATTTATATATATGTATATATGTATATATAAATCAAGTGTCTCTTTAAATTCCAATTTATGTATGTGTGTGTATGTGTATGTATACTCATACATAAATTGAAATTTAAAGAGACATTTGATCTATATATACATATATATAAATAATAAAATGTCTGGCTGTATGTTCTTTATTAACTCTTAAATCCTTTGACCAATTTGGACTAAATTATATATATCATTTTTATTATTTTGGTTTTTAAATATGAATATTTAAACTTTTACAATATATATAGAATCTATCTATCTACCTATATTATATATATATAATATATATAGATAGATTCTATATATATTGTAAAAGTTTAAATATTCATATTTAAAAACCAAAATAATAAAAATGTTCAAAGTACTCGAGTTATTAGCGCCTAGATATTGATATTTTCACCTTTTCAAGAAGCATAATTAAAATTGTATTTTATAGGAGCCCGTGCAGGCAGAGATGAGCAAGACGTTTTGTTGTTTGTGTTGCGGCTCGCCACCGTTGACCGTAAACTTTTCGCTACCGGTTCGAGGATACGTGCCTGGACAGTCTATGCCGATAAAAATAAACGTAGAGAATCAATCGAGCATCGTCGTGAATACCATCAAATTAGTACTGTCCAAGGTACGTGACGTAAGTTTCGCGGTAATGGAATTGTTAAAGTAAAAATTGAGCTAAGTTTGAAGGGTAATATTTCTCGACGATGTCTCAGGGTAGACACTGCCCGAAATATTCGACCGAGAAGTAATAACGTATCGTAAAAAAAGTTTAGGTGGTGACCTTTCGCGCTACCACACCTCACTCGGACAGCAGAACGGAAGAGATCGTAGTGACGGAGGTCAGTAAAGGACCGGTCGAGGGCGGCGGGAGCGCCGATTACGAACAACGTCTGGACATCCCGGCCCTACCGCCGTCAAACCTTGCCAATTGCGGCATTATTGATCTCGAGTATAATCTGAAGGTGGAAGCGTGCGTCGAAGGATGGTTATTACCCCTTTTCGCCATTCGTGTACCTCACTCTTGCTATTGATTTCACAAACAGATCGATTCGTCGCGACACTTACATTATTATTCATATCAATTACGCAATTATCCGCTTTGACTTAATTATCTATAACACGGAGAGAATATTATAGTTTCCTCTCATATAAATTTTTTTTAATTTTACTGGGACTTTAATGGTCCATCTTGCTAAAGAACATAGTAGATTTCGCTAGAAGCTCAGCAAATTTTGCTGAAAACGGTAAATGTTTCAATACAAAATCGAGACGTACTATGTCGAGATACGAAAGAAAAGATGCGACGTATCGTATGCATTCGATTTCGGCTCGATAGCGGCACAGTCGTTATCTCCGCGAAACGAGAAAAAGAAACATTTACAATTCCCAAAATATGTACATTTCAATTCCCAAAATATGTAAACAGCGTATAAAATTAAAGGATTGCGGAATGTCGATCTATTTTCCGATAAAATTCTATAGCGATCTTTACTATAAAATTCTCTCCGTGCGCTCGCATACATATCTTCATTCGTTCAAGATATACTCCCTAACTTTGCTGTACCACACTTGTGTGTATTTTCGTAGGTATCATCGAAACTTATCTGACAACACGCTTATCTTTGTGGGCACGGTTCCGCTAGCAGTTTACCACACCCCGAGTGCTCCACCTGCCACTGATATGGACGGCGATTACCCAACGAAGCCGCCAGAAGCCGGTTTCGTCATACCTTCGGCGAATAATGCGGTACCCCCACTACCAGAATCGCAACTATATCCGAACTTACGTAAGTGTCGACACTACGACCAGTATCGTATCGCATAAGTTACTTCAAGTCGCAATATTTTTGTTATTCTTGACAACTTTCCAGCGAAGAACTATCAGAGTTCTTTGCCGAAGACTGATTGTTCGAAACTTTATCTCTAAAAGTATCTCTTTATTTTCTATTTGAACTTATCTTACATTCAAACGTCTGTGAGGCTTTCTTTCTAGATAATGAAGATTTAAGAAACTTTTTTGCAACCGTAGTAATGATTTTCATTTGTCTTTCAGCTCCGCCATCCTTCGAGGAGTCAGTTTATGGCGCGAGGAATCTTCGCGAACGCGGAGAATCGGAGTACGTCTACGGTTTAACTAATCGTTTCGCACCGAAATATCCAGTTTATAATTTTGCGCAGTAATTAAAAAAAAAGAGAGATAAAAAGAGGGGGAGATCGCTGTCTTGAGATAATTTTTTATAAAAATTATTGAATACACCGTTTACAGTATACACATTTGTTGATAAAATTTCGAAGAAAATACGCAACTCACGAAGTGACTGTAATTCGAGAGTCTCGAGTCAGTCACTTTTGTCCTACTCAATGCTTGTAAACAATATGTGATTTATAAAGTGCACAAATTGTAGAGTGTAGTGCCATTTGAACAACGCCTTTTCTAACTGGCATTTATATTTTTTTACATGAAATAGCGAGATAGCGAGAGAGCAACGAATAAAGGCCAAATTTCCTCGTCTCTCTTATGGTACGATATTACTTGCATTAGAAATATATACACGCGATTGCATACAGATGTACACATGAGTAAAGCACATGGAAAAACGTAAACAATGGAACTTAAGCAGTAAGCAAATTGACTAACCACAATCAATGATTCTTCTTACGGTCCGAACAAAATCAATTGTGACTGGCCAATTTTCTTACCGCTTAAGTCGTACGGATTACGTGTTTCTGTGTGCCATCCGCTTAAGTATATCGTATCATGACACAAAGACTTGAGTTCGTTAATCATTGCATCGACAATTTGCAAGCGCGCTCCAATTTTCCAAAGCAACGCTATTTGTAAGTGCATTGTACTCGAGTATCGTTCTATGTATAGTATCATAAGTAAAAATACATTTTTAAGATTTCAAAATAACGAATGACTAATTTTATTATGGCCGACAAATCCCTGCAATAAAATGCGTTCTTTACTTCGCACAGGTGTCAAAACACGACGTCGGCGTATCAATAATATTGTCTCATATTGTCCGCTTTTGGATTATATTGAAAGAAATCGTTGTATTTGTTGAGTTTCGCACACGCACACACACACACACACGTTTCGAATACCGCAGCGGAATCACGACTGATTCATCTAATTGCGACGTATCACAGCTTCTATACTATACAGTTGTGCCTGAAAAATTAACAATGCATATTTACGATGTTATCTTTTTTTTCTTGTACAAGTTTCGCGAAGATAACGACTGTGCCGTTATCGAGCCAAGATCGAATGCATACGGTACGTCACATTTATCTTTCGTATCTCGACACGGTACGTCTCGATTTCGTGCTACCACGTCCCTACTTTCTCCATCACGTCACGCGCGACATTATCTTAATCGGAACACCGATCTGGGCATCCTTCGCGCCCGCGGCCTATACGATAATAAAACCTCAAGGTATTTAAATGACGTTGATGAATTCGGCCGTATAAACTTGGTTAGACAAAGGATGTGCTGGTGTAATTAAGTCGGTGAGATTGGGGATCGCACTAAGCCGACTGCAGAAGTGTGCTTCAATCGAATGTATAGACTAGATTCGGGATATCTTGTGTATATAGATAGAAACGATTCTCATTACATTTTTCGTAAATTTTAGTCATACAGACTAAATTTTAGTCAGACTTGTTTTGGTTTGTCATTTTTGCTAATGTTATTTTTCGCGTTTAAGCTTCTGACCTCTCGCCGTGGTTATCTTGATTTATGACGTCAGCAGAGCGAGGGAATGTTCAAAATTTTTGCAAAGTACATCGAAATAAAAAGATATATAAGATATCATTCCGAAGAATGATAGAATGGCAATAGATTAAGCACATAAAATACTCCGAACAGTTTCCGTTTGTTTTAACAATTAATAAATATAACCGTAAAATTAATATGACGCGTAACCCATTTCTTTTTAACCTATTTTCTCAGTATTTTGTCACGATTATTGATTAAAGCAAAAGAGGAAAGTGTTTGGAGTATTTTAGAAGTGTGTTTAATCGATTGCAAGTGTCCTTTTTTGGGTCGTGGACGTCATCGATCAAGAGTAGCGGGAAATTCCAGGAGCCTTAAAATTCCTCCAAGTATTCGCCTCTTCCGGCTAACGTCCGTGTTAGCTAATAGTCAATCAGTGCCTATTATTCTGGTTAAGGTTAACGAAGGTTTAATTTCGATTTATCGATTGGACGTATGAGTCTGTGTTAACGCCACTTGGACTTTAAACGGACGTAGACCACGGCGACGGAATGAATATTTATTCGCAATTAATCTTCGACTACAAGTGCACGGTCGCATGTCTCGGCGGTTGCACGTGAAGCGGATGGAACTGTTTGTAGAGCTATTTCTGCGCGTTTAGCGAAAAGCAAGGCACATCACGTGAATCATCGTATATCATGTGACAAAAAGCCACGATGACGTGAAAATGATGTCGAAACGACGTGAAAATGACGCAGGGGAGCTCGCTTTTCAGTCGCGATTCGGTCGCCCCTTATAGAAATATCATACTAAGAATCATTGATAATTACTTATTATCTAGTATTTTTAATACTGAAAATAAGTAATTATCAATGATTCTTAGTATGATATTTCTATAAGGGACCTTCTCGTCATTTTGACGTCATCGTGATTTGCTGCTTCCCATTTGTTTCCTCGTGTCGTCTGATGCCTACACGTGACAAACGGAAAGAAATGGCGCGTTATGACGACAAGTCACTCAGCAAGTCACCGATACGAGTTGCTGCTTAAAGGCAGCTTCTCTGGTAGATATCAGGAGGCAGGAGATTGCGGTCGGAGAGTCGCGCTGCCCGTGAAATCCCACCAAGGTGCTGCGGCCGGCCGTGCTCGGCAAGAAGTATACCGGAGCGCTCGCACAAAGCCTGATCGATGATGTTAGCGGTATCACTGGACTCGGTCTCGCGGCCTTGGAGGCGCGAAATGAAATATTTGTGAACGCGCTCTGATCTAGCTTTTCGCGGATGCTCAATCAGCGCGACGGAATCGGCGGCGAGTCGCCAATTGCATTCGCGTGTAATCCGATCGAGGAAATCGTCTCACATGCCCGCACACAACCGTCATCGCGATAGCGATCCCATTGCGTTCCACGACGCTATCGCGGCGAGTGTGTACGCGTGCATACGTGCATACGGCACGTGTGTGTGTGTGTGTGTGTGTGTGTGTGTGTGTACATGTAACGATTTTCTACATAATTGATGGCCGCCGGATATTTCGTTTCCCTGACGGGCGAATTGATTGCATTCGTGATTGCACGACGTTATTTTTATTGCGCATTATATCAGTGGAGCAATATTTACGCGAATTATCACCCACCGAGCGAGACGATAATATCGCACACGTACACGCCGAGTGACTCGCGGTGTGCGAATGCGCCTCGTGGCCGTACACTTACGCTGTCAATTACGTAAGCAACGATATAGCCAACGTCAGTATAGATCGTTTTACGACAAGTCGCGGTTTTATGTTCGTAATTCCTATGTTCGGAGTATCTAGTGGAATTTCGAATTGAGGCTGAATAGGCGTCCTTGTGATAACGCGACCGAGTTCAGCTCGCTGTTGCTTTGCGTTTTCAGTCGCGAACTGTCTTGAATATTATAGCTGAAAAAAGAAGGGCTTATGTAAGCGCGCATTAGGTCGAAATTGGGCGGCAGGTGGTAACACGATCTCTCATAACGTCGTCATCCATCACCGTTCTGTTGCGCGTCCAATTTCGCTCCCTTCCGATATCCTGACTGACGTAAATCGTGATGGACTTAACAGGATTCTGCGTTCAAAGCGCCCGGGCTCATTTTATCATCTCCTCGCGGAAATACACGGGACAATGAGAGTCGGCGGGGAAGAGATTCGCGCGCCGAGAGAATAACGCGGGCTTCCCGCGACCACGACGATCCACCAGGGCGGTCCGCGGTGTGCCGCTTTGGTGTTTTTGAACGAGCGGCGGCCGCCGCGAGACGGCACGTTCTCTCGCGCTGCAATCAAGGCTGTGACATAGAAGAAAACTTTAGTTCCAAAGTGACGAGGTCGCGCCGGACTGCACGTCTGTTTGCGTTTCGACCTCGTCGACGATCGATAATTCAAACCGTATCGATAAGCGGAAACGTCGCGGCGAATGTAACAGCGGCATGACGTCACATTCTCCCCGGCTCTGTGGTGTCCTCGTAATAAGTGAAACGGCGTCACGGGCGGGTCTATAATCAGCGCACCGGCGTACGCCAGTTTATAGCCAGGACTCGGCGAGCTGGTATGCGACGAGCGGCTGCAACGGCTTAGCGCGCGTAGGTTGGCATTTCAGCCGGCACCGGCACTGACCCAGCATGGAACCACCTGCAAGTTGGACAGCCTGTTCACCGTAGATTCAGCGCACGAGCGTGAGCCTCGGTTGGGGGCTTGAAAACGCCGCATACGTCCCTGACGCGTCCCTGTCGCTCGTAACGTTCGGGTTTCGAGGGGCGACTGTGAGTGTTTACTTGCCCCCGAACATCCCCGCACGACGATTCCGCTACGGGACTTTCGCCAAATTTCAACTGTCGTCCCGTCACTCCTCGCTCGCAACAAATCTCGCTCGAAACTGAAACTTACTGATCGCTCGAGCTAGTCTCTGGTTAGTCTTGTCACGACGAAGTCTAGCGAGCGAAGAGTCGTCGTGAGAAGAAAGGGGAAGAACAAGAGAGACCGGGACATTCTCCGTTGACGAATGAACCTCGTGTATGCCGGGCTCGTGCCCGTTCGGTGGTCGAACCCCCGTTCGCGTCACCCTTCGCCGCGGGCTGCGTGCCGGCACGTGCGCGGTGCGCCGGGGCGCGCGTGCTACACCTCCTGTCAGACTCGCTCGTCCGTCGCGCCGCAGGACGACTACCCTCCGGGGCCGTGGAAAACAGTGGAAAAGCCGGAGCCGATGTCGCCGCGTCCGCTTCGTTCTCCGTGACCGGTCGGCAGCGACAGTCACAGCATCAGCACCTCGTGGGAGGGTCTCGCTCGCGACACGCGAGAAGAAGTCGTCGCGCAGGGCGGCACACGTGTCCCACGTGAGGCAAGCGAACGTCAGACTGGTGGCAGAAGTAGCAACAGACGGCCGCCGCTGTCTGTCTCTCCTGCCGAGGTGTCGAGCTTCACAAGAACGACCACGTGTCAAGAACGAGCGGCACGTGTAGTTCCGCGTAACACGCGCCGTTAACACACGAGGTCGCGCTCGCTATCAGCGCGTCGTCGCCGTAGCCGTTATCGCTCGTCGAGGAGGAGAGCCGCGTCGTGGCAGGAAGTGTCGCCGCTGACCGCGCGCGGAGTCCACGGAGTGGAGTCGACGTCGCGGACGCTCGCTCGCTCGCTCGCCCAACGGGGACAGGCCAGGACAGGACAATACGGGACGCAAGGAATCGATGCCGCAAGTCGGGACCGCGAGCGCCGAGCAGTCAGCACGCGACAGCCTCGTCCGGAGTCCTGTGACGCGCCGCCGTGCTTGAGCGACGACGGCGGCACCCGCGAGGACTTGGTCGAGCTTGGATCCGCGAGAACGAGGACGCGTTTCCCGAGGAGCGGTGCGCGAGCCGGGGCCATCTCGGTTCCTCTTGCAACAGGTATGATTGAGTCAGCGCGACTACCACCGCGTATCTCATGAGCGGCGATTACTAGAGATCATTGCTCGAGCTGTCAACGATGTGGGCTGGGAAGGCTCGATTAATCCGCGAAGCCGGGCGGTACGTACGTAGAGCGTCTTCTAGGCCGAAGTCTTGTCCGCCTGACGGGTCGCCTCGATGCGTTAAAAGATCGATCTCGTGTGTGAACCTAGTCGCGAATGTCGACGTCGCAACGATGGCACTAACTGAGCGCTCGACGATCGAGCGTAAAACTTGAAGTCGTCGTTGCTTCAACTCGCCGTACAACGTTCCTCCGGGGATTGGTAGAGCCTACGGCAGCTTGAGCAAGCGCGAAATCGGTTTTCGTATCACCTGCCGAAGTCTTGCTGATAAAAAGTGTTCTCAGGCGACTGGGAATTACGCGAATAACGACGTTAGGATTCTCTCACCATCCTCGTGCCTCGGAAACCCTTCGACGCAGCCAATTCTTTTGGGATCTTTTTCACTTTCCCCCGTCGACACGTAGGTCGAGATAGTCGTTGGAGAGAAACACGCGTGACGCGCGATGCATGCGCAACCCGAAAGCGTGAAGATCGTGCGGCTTAGATAATTCGCGTTCACACCCCATCAGGCACCCCGATCTCTAATTTATGTATGTAGAGAATTTATAATGCACGTACACACACGTACATACGCACACTTTCGTTGAATTACAACGTTTTACCGAAACAGCATGACGAAACGTTTTTCCTCATGACTCACGTCACGCGATATTCGACGAATCATTCGCGAAAAGAATCGTGGCGTGACTGTGTCTCACCTTATTGCTCGTTACTTCAACTACAATTTAAAGCAATAATTAACGCTGAAGAGTCCTCTCGAGGGGACGAGTTTCTGCTTTCTAGCATGGCGATCACGTCGAACGTGTGATTCATGTTCCACGAGATAAGATTGTCGCTATTCTTGGCGCTATTTCTAATTATCCGTTGTTACAATGAGAAAATAAAAGTGGCTGAGTTAATGAGATTTTGCCTGAGCGAATTTTGTTCATTTTGTTCAAGCAAACGTTTGATCGATTGAACGAATTATATAGTTGCCGTGATGAGTCAACAATTGATTCGGTGATTTGGTCATTGATGATATCAACTTATTGTTGCTTAATTGATCACTTATTGTTGCATCAATTAATTTTGTTCAATGGATACAATATTTCTTTGAAGGCGCGTGTGACCGCGAATTTTGTCGATCCTGCTCTTTTATTCTCAATGTAGTTATCTTTGCATGACGATAATATGGTGGTGTGTATGATTGATATGATTCAGTTATTTTGGCATATCAACTATACCAATGTAGTCGCGCGTGGTCTGTACTCTTTGGATTGCATTCCAAAGCATCTCTTTTTAGGAAAATTTTCTCAAAAGGGACGTTTTGTATCGAGTAAAATTTCCTCAAAAGGGACGTTTTGGAGTGCAACCTAGAAGAACAAAATGATTGATCTAACTAAAATTATAGTTATTTTTCAATAATTTCTTTGAAATCCAACTGCTCCAACCGCTCTTTTTGTCCTTCGCAATCCTTCGCGGAGAACTCTCCATACGAAGTAATCGCTCCGAGGTAATCTCTGCGGTGCCTCGGCTTTGGGAAACTTGTATTAACGCGTGACACGTCACAGAGTACACATTGACGCGTTATATTTCAGGAGCTGTATATCTTTGCACCGATCGTATTCATGCATTCGCGTCTTGGGGTGGGTTTGCTAATTCCGTGCGACGAATGTGTGTTTGCAAAGAGGAAGAGAAACACGAAACTAACATCGCGGTCGGAGAACAATCGCTTGCTCGCCATCGCGAGCAACTTGTCCGCCAACACACTACTTCCACGTTCTCGCGTTATTTACCCTTCGTAGCGAGCAATGTAGCGAGCGACATCCATTTGCCAACGAGTAGTCACCACAGCTCGCTTTGCACACCTTAACGATATTCGCTAATTACGTATCGATCAACCGTTGAACATCCGTGCTATTTTCTCGTCATGATCGCGCGGCCAAGCAACGGATAATCCGCTCGTGTTAGCCGTGTCAGAAAACTCTCCACTCAGTTCACCTTTCCCACCGATTCGCCGGCCGACGAGTCTTATTGTTAAGAAAAATAAGTAGGAGCACATTTTCTTTTTGCGCGAGATAACGAAGTGGTGCACTCCACCTCTCGCCCTTCACTCGTTTCGTCTTTTCGACTAGCCTCCTTTGTCGTTGGAAAGATCAAGCCGCGGATAAGATCACTTTCCGCGTTATTCCGCAGCTTTGTCGCTCTCGCACAAAGAAGGCACGAAGAAAAAGACGTAATTAGATATTATTCTTTCTGAGAGACGTGTCATGGTCAGCCTCAAAGAGATACGACTACGAGCACCGCGAGAGAGCTTTCACGGGGTTGGCTTACATTAATGACGACTCGGCGTCAACGATGAGAATCGGAAATCCTTCGGGGGTCCTTACGCAGTTCGTAATTCGCCGCGCGAGACACTCAGAGAAGAGAACACGGTGATGGCAACTACGCAGGTGACAATCATATGAATGTCAAATATAGAATTGTGTGTACAGTTTGACAAAGTATTTTGCTGTTATTGCAACCAAGACTTTAGTTATAATATAATAACTATAAAAATAATTTATTAAACTATATAATGCTTTACTAAACTGCGTACATTTACCATGTGATAAACTATGTACATTAATTCCACATACACATGATTCGTATAGTTGTCCCTTTCTATTGTTGCCGTCGCCATGTCCCTTTCTCTGAGCGTGCAGAACTCATTTGGAAGTCTGCATGAAGAATTCTCCGAATAACGACAACAACGAAAGGACGCTGTCTCGTGTCGGATGAAAGATCAGAGATTAGCATGATAATCGCACGTTAAGCATCGATGTACAGCGACATAATGTCGTCATGGGTCACCGAAAAATATCACGCGCACGCGACGAAGCGAGCGAGAAAGGGCAGAGTGTCACGCGATATTATATGTCACAAAGATAGGGACACGTGTATGTATGTGTATGTGGGTCCGCGCAGTGACTCGACATTGATTCTTAAATATCAATTTTCAATGGCCGATTTCAAGGCGCTCCGTCGCGGCCACACCTTTCCGCCGTGAAACGTGCCTGGTACAAAAAGGGCGAATATAGTCGAATGAGGTCGCTGCGCAGGTTGCACGAGTCATGTACGATTTTATATTGGCTCTACCATAGTGGAGAGAGACAGAGAGAGCGAGAGAAAAGGAGTATTTTCAAAATCCATCAGGTTCTACGGGACGACACCAGGCTGTGCTGCAAGAATAACATGTTATTCATTACTTTAAGCTTATCTTTGGCTTCTTTTACTTGTAATATTGTTCGTAATAATTTCTCACTTTTAGTCCTCCCAGAATGGAAGGACACAAGTTCCGCGGACAAACAGGTTGTCTAATTTTCTCCTCCTAATTAATGCAATTGGGGTTTTTCTTCTAATTAATACAATGGAGGTAATAATATCTCACTTTTGATCCTTCCAGAGTGAGAAGAGTACAAGTGTCTCATTCCAAGGACAAACAAGTTGTTTAATTTTTTCTTCTAATTAATATAAATGAAGTTATATTTCTCTCTCTCTTTCTCTCTTGCTGTTCAAGATTGCGTTAGTACAGTGGAGTTCAATCATTGCTTGCTGTTCTGTTCGCATGGAAATTTGAAAGCTCGCACACTCGTCGGATGTCACCATCTGCTCGTCGACGTTAAGCACACCCTTACGGCTCTGGCTCGATACGCCACCTCGAGCTTTAACATCGTCGCGTCCGACAAGTCACTTCACGTTGTATTTCTTTTCGGGCCGCCTTATCCACTTTCGCCGAATTGCGAAAAAAAGCTAAGCGATGTTTCGAGTGACGCGATGATTAATGTACCTTCGATAAATGATGTCGGTCGGCGGATCGGAGCGGAAAGGACGTCTATATACTCCGAACGGCAATTTGGCAGGTTTATCGCGAATGAGGGGCGCGCAATGACGCCGACTGAAAGTGTCGAGGCGAGAGAAAGGTCGCAGGAACATTTAATCGCTGGCTACCAGAATTAAATCGGGAACGGCGCGAATAACCATTTCGTTCGCGTCTTCGCGCAAGCCTCAAGCAATTTCCATGCCGATACAGAAGCGAAAAGAAAAGAGCTTTCAAGGCAAGTTTGCCGCAACAAGCTCCTTTCATGGCGATCTCAAAGGGACAGTTAATAGGATTATTGGAATCAGGCGAAACAATGAACAGGAATCCCCGAGAAAGACACATGGCGCGGATAAATATCCATTCCAATCGTTTGCGCGGAATTTAATACGTATTGTATAATCTGCAATTAGCACAATGCGTATTTGTTGTAAGGATAATCGGCCACAGTTATGCAAGAATGACTCAATCTATAAAATTATGATTTTTGAGTTATTGTTATGATTGGGTGATCCATACGCCTTTCTTTGCGTCAAGCAAAAAAGATCCAAGTCTTATGGGCGTCTAACATTATTTAGAAAGCAGTTTTCATTTTCAACTAGTTGCATTTCTTACACATTTTTAAGGTTCAAGCTTGTCAATGAGTACTCTTAGAGAGAAGAAAATTGATTGACTTCTTGAACGATTGCGAGGAACCTCAATACTATCTACACTTTTTAAATTACCTATCAAATTTTCATCTTTTTTTTGAAACGCACTTCACGTGGATTGTGGATTATTCTTGCACAACTACGGCCAATTGTTATGAATCAATTGTCAACGACCGTTACGGTTGCGGGAAAAATCAATGGAAAATAGGTCATTAACAATTGACTCATAACAATTGGCCGTAGTTGTGCAAGAATCCACAATCCACGTGAAGTGCGTTTAAAAAAAACAAAGATGAAAGTTTGGTAAGTAATTTAAAAAGTACTGAGATAGTTTAGATAGTACTGAGGTTCCTCGCAATCGTTCAAGAAGTCAATCAATTTTCTTTTATA